GACCGTGCCCGAAGACTAGGTTTGAGACCAGGTCTGGCGACCAGAAGCAGAGACCAGGTCTGTGGAGAGACCAGGTTCAGAAACTAATATCCTGACACCAGGTAAGGAGAGAGACCAGGTCTAAAGAACCACTTGGTCCAGAGACCAGAGACTACGTCCAGAAACAACATCCAGAGACCACTGTCCAGATCTGTGGAGAGACCAGGTTAAGAGGCTGGTGTCCGGAGAACATAGACTAGTGTCCAGACGTCAGGTCCAGACATCAAGGCCAGAGATGACCTCCTGAGACTATGGTCTACGCAGGCCCCCGTAATCCTTGTTTATTCTATGTGTGTTCATATTGAAGCCCTACACAGACAGATATTTGTGTTTTATAGTTAGATCATTTGTAAACAGTAAAATGTATACATTAAAACCCCCCAACATATTTTCTATGGGATATTATTTCTAATATTTGTAATTCTATAAAGTATTTTGTGAAATTGACATCCACCCTTTTCCTTCTATTGGTCCACATATCAAAATGAAACTTGAAACAAAGCTTTAATCAAATAAGTTTATTGTGTTGTTATGTTCTTTAAATGCCATTTATTTTTCATACAAACAAAACAATCACAACACAGAATACAAAATAAAATCATTCAACATGTTATGACTCCATATAAAGATGTATGTTTAATATAAATACATTACTTAAAATATTAACATCCTCTACGAAAACTGACTGCAATGTGAAGGAAATCACCTCAGTGTGTTTCTGGAAGAAAATCATCAACAAACTGAGGTCGTATCATACCCATGCTTCTAAAATAACCAGACTGGTTATGATACAGCCCCAGCTTTGATGATGGATCAATACGTATCAGGTTAATTGATTATCAGGTTTATATCAGCAATGCATCCTCCCCGGCTCCAACACAGATTATTGATTATCAGGTTAATATCAGCAGTGCATCAGCCCGGGCTCCGACAGGGATTATTGATTATCAGGTTTATATCAGGAGTTTATCCTCCTTGTCTTGTCAGAGTTTCAGAGAGAAAAACAAGTTGTTGTTAAGAGGGAAGTAGGTGAGGAGATTTCACATCATAATAAAATAACTGGTACTAAAGAAGTCGTACATTTAGACTGTAGAACTTACCTCGAAAACCACGGCCTGATGAGAAGGAAACATTTGTCTATAATCTCAAAAAGTCACAATCTGAACGAGACAAAAACCTGAACAACAGAGTGAGCAAATTAGCACATGTTAACTCAGGTGTTTGTGTGTGTGTAGAGGGGGGGGGGGTTCTACTACTTCATCTCCTACTTAGACCAAGACCATAACCAGTAATGATGAAGACCAGAACCAATTCCAAGACCGAAACCAGAAGGGATGAAGACTAAAAAAGCCTCCAAGACTATGAGGTGATGAAGACCAGAACAGCCTCCAAGACCAATACCAGAGGTGATGAAGGCCAGAACAGCCTCCAAGACTATGAAGGGATGAAGACCAGAATAGATTCCAAGATCAGAACCAGAAATGATGAAGACCAGAGCAGCCTCCAAGACTATGAAGTGATGAACACCAGAACAGACTCCAAGACCAGAACCAGAAATGATGAAGACCAGAGCAGCCTCCAAGGCTATGAGGTGATGAAGACCAGAACAGCCTCCAAGACTATGAAGTGATGAAGACCAGAATAGATTCCAAGATCAGAACCAGAAATGATGAAGACCAGAGCAGCCTCCAAGACTATGAAGTGATGAACACCAGAACAGACTCCAAGACCAGAACCAGAAATGATGAAGACCAGAACAGCCTCAAAGACTATGAGGTGATGAAGACCAGACCAGATTCCAAGACCAGAACCAGAAGTGCTGAAGACCAGAACAGCCTCCAAGACTAGATGAAGGAATGAAGACCAGAACAACCTCCAACACAAGATGAAGTGACCAATTGAAGATGAAGTGATGAAGAACTGGAGGGTTTTTAAAAAGGAGGCGGAGATTAGCATCTTTATCCTCGTCCTCAGATTAACCAGTTTGAGCTGCAAGGTCTTTTTGTGTCTAATCTGATGATCTGACGATGTTTTGAGGATTTTCCGGATTGAGCAGGACCACCTGCTCAGGTAAATCTGAAACATCCGGATTACATCTAAAGTCGCACGGACTGTAAACCAAAAGGTTCTTATTGGATTTTTGTGTGCAGACCACCTGCTTCTGCAGACAACGTCACTGTGCTGCGTGAAACACACTCATTTATGTGGAAGCAAAAGCACATTGTAATCCCTGGGGCAGCACTGTTTGAGTTAGAGGTGCCATAAAACTGCAGGTGAATCTAACTGTATAAATATCATATAATCACATAGACCACTGACTATAACTATAAACATATCACATATTCACAAACAACACTGACTTTAACTGTATAAATATAACATAATCACATAGACCACCTTATATATAAATGATTCCCTAGCCTATAGCCTTCTATTTTATACTGTAGATTTAAATTGTAAATTGAACATGTCATTTTAGTTATTTGTCTTGTTGTCTATTTTCTCACTGTCCATGTTCCTGATCCCTGATTCGTGATAACTGTATAAATATCATATAGTGACAAAGAACACTGACGATAACTGAATACATAACATATCACATAAAGCTCTGATTATATCTGTATAAATATATATAATATAATATATATATTCACATAAAACACTGATGATAACTTAATACATATTATACCATCACATAGAACACTGGCTATAACTGTATGAATATCATATAATCACAAAGAACACTAACCACTATTTATATAATATTTACATGAAAATAGAATAGACATGTACACCTAATTAGATTGGTATTCACATTGACCTCCAGTCAAGTACTTTTGATACCAAGTACTGAGCACATTGTGGAAGTGCTGAGAGGGATTTCTGAGTTCATGACATGGTGCCAGGACTTAGGAGTATCATAGGGATTACTAAGTACTTTGATATTTTTATACTTTATATTCATCATCATGTGTTGAGAAGAAACTTTGGTTTGATGTTGAAAGGGAGCTGGAATGAATCCAAACCTTGTCTAATGTTAATAAATGATCTCTTAATACAAAGAAAACAAAATGAATGTAATGGAAATATTTAATTAAAACATTCCTCAGTATTGTGATAGCTCATAAAATAACATGGAGACCAGAAAATAACTATATTAATGGTGAAATGTCAAAGTTAATACTGTATACATCTAGATATACATTAACTTAGGCCTTGCAAAACATGTATTACTCACATGTACTTCCTTACATCTTTTATTGAGTAGAGATTTTTAAATAAACATAAATAACATATATGAACTCATTTATTAACTCGACATAGGTACTAAGATCACATAACTCCATTGTTTGTAACATCTACCGTTGTGGCATTTCGTGTTTTGGTTTATTATAAAATAATTAAAACAATGTTAAAGAAAAGTCACTGCGTGTGTGAATATGATTTGAGAGACGTTTGTAAGTTTTCCCTAAAAAGCTAAAAACGGGATTAAAAGGGGAAATGTTAGTAAATTGGTAATAATTACGGAAAGGCATATACATGTTTTTCTGCCTCATCAGTCATATTTTATACTTGATTTGATCAGATCTTTCTTTATTGTATTAGTGTGTGATGGCCTAATAACAAACACAACTACTAATAACAAACACAACTACTTTACTGCAACTGCAGTTGGGATTACAATCTTTAATTCTTTAATGAAGTGGTTAATTAAATGTAGATCAAGGTTTCAGAAGTGAAACAGTTTGACATGAGAACAGACTGTTTATGAAAGGGTTAACGTAATATGAAGATTGGATCAAGCAGAGCTAATTTATTGACTAGCAGCACATTAAACTAACACCCATTTTTATTTCTCTGTGAAGACTCAAGGAATTACTTCATGGACAATGTCTGGTATGTGATGGTTTCAGTAAAACTGCTATGATGTTTGTTCACGGTATTCTGATCTGGTTGTGATCAGTCTGCTGTGTGACTGACTCACAGTCTCTTTAAGTCTCCTTTAAGTCAAATATCTCGGACACTTCCTTCTCTGACTCTCCGATACTTCTATCTTTAAATCTTCTATCTCTGAATCTTCTATCTCTGAATCTAATAAATAATGTAGGTATTTGTTGTGAGAGTATACTGTGGGATAAGTCTTAAACTTACATATGAGGCTCATCGTATAGTTTTGCAAAGTTGGGCTTTATTCTGATGAGTATAGTAATTTGAAGGTGACCTTTGACCGCTAACCTCAAGAGAGGTGAATAAAGATGACACAGAATCTTGTACGGTTGTGTTATTCGTGTCTGCTTTAAACTGGAATTATGATTTGATTGGAACTCTGACAATCTACACAATGTTTTCCTAGGTGATGATGTTGGTCTCCTTAGTAACCATTCCCCATTTTGAGATCACTGTATGCAATTAGCTTTTGTGACCTCGCAAAACTCCACAAGCACAAAGCAGAGACAAAGAGCATTCAGAGCATTTATTCCCCCCCATGTATATTAACAATAAAGACTTCCTTTACACTTTCTACAACAAAATGACTCGTCGTTAAATCACAGAAAGGTAAATTAGTCTTCATGTTCTCAGCTGTCTGATGATGTACACTGCTCTTTCTACAATGTGGAACTCTAAGGGTTAACATGAAAATGTTGCCACACGTTTATCCTTAGGTCTAGTTCAGTTCTTGAGAGTTAACAGTTTTAATTTCGTACATATCAGACAAACATTGCAACATTTACTTTCTTTGTATTAAGGCTTGGAGAACATAAGGACGTTACGTGTTGCCGTTGATATCAGCCTGCTTTGACTGTAAATCCTGTCTCTAAACAGATTAAAGATTAAATGTGACGATGTTAATCCTAAAATGTGACTTTAGAAAAAGTAAAGCAGCTCTCCAGCGTAAATCTTTAGTGTAAGTGGTTTATGAGAGTATTTAAGGAGGCTGTAGTCGTCAGGAGTAACAGAAATCCCAGAATCACGATGGGGAAACACTTCCACTTGTATGAGAACATTTCTAAAGTGGACCCCTTTGAGGGGCCACAGTATTACCTTGCCCCTATGTGGGCGTTTTACCTTCAGACCGCATTTATGGGTTTCGTCTTTTTCGCTGGAACCCCCCTAAACTTTACCGTTCTTCTCGTCACAGCCAAATACAAGAAGCTCAGGGTCCCACTCAACTACATCCTCGTCAACATCACCTTGGCAGGATTCATCTTTGTCACCTTCTCGGTCAGTCAGGTGTTTGTCGCATCTGCGAGGGGTTACTACTTCCTGGGTTACACCTTGTGCGCGCTGGAGGCTGCGATGGGATCCGTAGCAGGTAAAAAAACATGTGAACAGGGAGACTCCAGCTGTGCATTGGTTCTCTTAAATCTCTGGCTGGCGGACCAAATAATATAGTATATTTTCGTGTAAAATTTAAATACAAACAGTTCTATTTGATCTTAGCAAAACCGCTGATTCTGTCGATTTTTTTTTTTTGCATTTTATTTGTACCGTCATGCATTAACCCCCTCTGGCTACCGCAGGACTGGTGACAGCCTGGTCTTTGGCTGTTTTGTCTTTCGAGAGATATCTGATCATCTGTAAACCTTTTGGAGCCTTTAAGTTTACCAGTAACCACGCTCTCGGTGCTGTCGCCTTCACCTGGTTTATGGGAATCTGTTGTTCCAGCCCACCTTTCTTCGGCTGGAGCAGGTGAGTAACACACAGACGCCAGAGACTTTCTACAGATAGCTGACATTTTACACATCAACCGTGTTGTTTTCAGGTACATCCCTGAAGGTCTAGGCTGCTCCTGTGGACCTGACTGGTATACTCACAACGTGGAGTTCAACTGCACCTCCTACTTATACTTCCTGATTGTGACCTGCTTCATAATGCCGCTCAGCATCATCATCTTCTCCTACTCTCAGTTACTGGGTGCTCTTCGAGCTGTGAGTAAAAGTCAAACAAACTTCTTCAACCAATCAGTTGATCAACCGTTATTGAAGGTCCTCGTTTTGATTCTTGTTTTCAGGTAGCAGCTCAGCAGGCGGAGTCGGAATCAACCCAGAAGGCCGAGAAGGAAGTGTCCAAGATGATAATAGTCATGGTGGGATCCTTCGTTGCATGTTACGCTCCCTACGCCATAACAGGTCTTTGGTTTGCCTTCTCTCCAGACGAAAACAAAGATTATCGACTCGTCACCGTCCCTGCATATTTCTCCAAAAGCTCGTGTGTCTACAACCCACTCATCTATGCCTTCATGAACAAACAGGTGAGCAGAGTTGACCCCAAAACTAGAAGGCGGGGTGAGTTAAAAATGTAATTGGGAACTCACGCTGTTACACCTTAAGACACCTTGATCATCCCGCAGAATGAGATGAACGTTGGATGCTGAGCATGTTCAGAGATGTGATTAATTTGAATTTTGTACTCAGGTCAGGCCCGATAAAGTAGAAGTTGTAATGTTAACTGTTATTTTCCTCAACAGTTTAACGCCTGCATCATGGAGACCGTTTTTGGGAAACCAATGGATGAATCTTCTGAGGTTTCTTCAAAGACAGAAGTGTCATCAGTGTCCACAGCTTCTTAAAGTTTACAACCAAATACATCTGAAGACATTTCAGCACTTTCAAAAAAAACATTAAAAATATCTGTATGTGATGATTACTTAACAAACAACATGTAAATATCCAAAACTGTTCTACTGCATATATTTATTTTACTGTAGAGCTTTTTTGTTTAGATAAATTCAACTCAAGATTTTAATAAAAATCTTACAAAGAGTTTGTTTGCCCAATAATGCAGCTCATAAAGTGACTGAATAAAGCTGTTAGCTGTTTACACAATTAAACATATGGTCTTAAAGGGTTAATCCACTCAAAAAACATCACATAATACATATCATTAACTTTAAATGTTTTTTTTTTAACTGACTCTAAAACTCAAAGTTCAGCATGAAGTCAAACATGCTTTCCGTCTGTGTGCAAATCCAAGATTAAGTGGTGAGAATTACTTTTACAAAGATATAACAAGGAGGAAAATGATAATAGTTTTTATGACAATTCCACTTCTAACTTCTGTCTCTGTCCCAAAACACATTTGTGCTCCAAGATCTCTCATCATAAACCGAAAGAAAGACAGAAATGCAGAAGCAAAAATTGTACGTATAAAAAGTAAGGTCACGAAAGTGATCCCGTTAGCAGAAACACTGAGACCTTCAAACAGAAAGTAAACAAAAATCTGGAATCAGGAATCCGGAACATTTATCGCCAAAGTATATTAGAAATACAAGGAATTTGACATGGCGGTTGGTGCATAACATTTGTCAGTAAGACAATGAGACAATGGACAACAACACAAACAACCCAGTGCTGGAAGAATGACATGTGCAATTTACAAATTTACTGTATAAAATAGAAAAATGTATCCTATTGGGATCTAGAATGAAAAAATAAATTCTGTAGGTTTACAGAATACACAAAGGTGGCTAAATGTGTAAACAAGCAGAGGTAAGTAAAGAGTTAAACATGAGGAGGTGAGTAAAGAATAAAAAATTAAGAGGTGAGTTTGGAGGTAAACAGGAAGCAGAGGACTGAAGTTAAACATGCTGCTATAAACTAGCTGTGAGTAAAGAGTTAAATGCGTTTCACCTGGTTGGAGTCTGACACGTGCAGAAGGTTTTTGGCTTCAGCATGATCATGCATGTCATCTGGAGACGTGATGGCAGTTTATAAAACCCTATTTAAATGTGTTCCCATAGGGGAGCATCAAGGAGTCAGATTCTTTAACGGGACTAGAAGAATAGCCGATCATGTTATGTTTGTGATGCAGCTTGTAAATATTTAATAACAATAGGATATTGTTCTAAATGAAGCAAGAAACACAGTCAGCAGAGGTTCTATTGGCAAGATGAGGACCTCCTCACTCCACCTAAAGCTAAAACCCTCCATCAGGACCAGGAGACTGGAGGGGGTGCAGCCATCTTACCGATTTACTTGTTTGGGTTGATGACGATGTCCTCTATGGTATCCTGAGACAGTATACAACAGGACTTCAGTTACAACACATCACATCAGTGACATCACATTCAGGCAGTGACGTCATGTCAGTGACATCATTCTCACATGCGCCACGATGTCCTTGATGTATTTCTGATCTTCAGGATGAAGAAAAGATCCAAACTTGTGCTTCTCTGCGTTCAGATCTCCGTTTCTGTATGTGACTCTGAAACGTGTCTCGTTCCTCGACATCATGTGATGTAGTTAAAATCAGAGTCCGGCTCAAGGTCTTCTATTGGGGTAATCAATCAGCGGCTCATTGTACTAATGAGGTAATCAATCAGAGGATCATTGTACTAACGAGGTAATCAATCAGAGGATCATTGTACTAATGAGGTAATCAATCAGAGGATCATTGTACTAATGATGTAATTTGATTAAAGTTGACTACGGTTTGCTACAATATACTTGAAGAACTAGATTTACAATCCTACGACAGCAGTAAACCGACTGAGAAGAGTAGAGTCCATGAAGAAGGACCACTCAGGCATCTGGACCACAACGACAACAAGAACTACGTCTACAACCACAAAGCCTTTCTGGGTGAAGACCAGGCAAAAGCCTTCGAGAGGCTCCTCCCTGGCGAGAGCCAGCAGAGGCTCGGGTGACCTCATCATTCTTATGATAATAATAATAATAACGTTCAGTGTGTGTATCTTCCTGTGAATAGAATCAGTTGGCCTCTCTGTCGGTTTACTGCTGCCGTAGACACCGCTTAGGACGAAACACATCATCAAGGGACGGATCATCCTGACAAAGGAGAGAAATAAGAGGATTCACAATGAACTTCTGGGGAGAGAGTTACTACCTACATTGAAAATGTACTGGACGACATGTATCAGCTAAACTACTTTAACATTTTATGAATGACATTATTGAGCAGCTTGTAAAATATGGTTGAATTTTAAATGGTGTATTTCCATTGAGTTCCAACACTGAACTTCTGTTTAGATATGCAAAAATGAATAGTAATACAAATCTAAATCTCTTCTACTTCTGCAGTTTAACCAGTTCATCTAAGAGCTTTCAGTCATTTTCATGTCATTAGTGCTGAAGTAACAGATCTGACGTTGATTCTGACATTGAATATTCTATTCATATCACATCTACAGGAACTCTATGTCAATATCGTACTTGCAGAGGTGTCAAAAGTATTCACATTCATTACTCAAGTAGAAGTACAGATACTAGGGTTTAAAAAGACTCCTGTAGAAGTTGAAGTATCAACTCAAGCTTTTTACTTAAGTTAAAGTATAAAAGTACTGGTTTCAAAACTACTTAAAGTATAAAAGTAAAAGTAATGTAAGAAATTCCATTAAGGACAAACTCTTAATGCGTAACCTCGCTCACACAACACATCAGTCCGTTACAATGTGATCAGAAGGCGCCTGCAGATCACGTGATCTGCCGTTGGGATGGTGGAAACATGGCGATATTCAGAGACACAACAAAACAACAAATGTATCTAACTTAAACAGATAAAACCACAACCCATTTTCCAGTGACAAGAGTCAGAGGGCGGACACACACGTTGTTCCCATTGATGAGGTAGACTGCAGTGTCCCCCCCCCGGTTTACTACGTCATGGGGGGGGGGCAACCTGTTTATAATGATGGGAAACACTGAACTGGCAGCGGTCGGTTATCAAAACATTGGCCAAATAACCAGTGTTTTCAGGCGCAAATACAGAATCCCTTTGTGTTCATTTGCAAAGCCGCATTAAGACACACATCACTTTATTTAATACGCTGCTTGCAAGTCGCTGTGTTGTGCCTGACTCTCAATAAAACATTTAGGACAAACCCACGGTCATGAAGATACTCATCTAACGTTACATGGAATCTGAGTGAGGAAGAGGAGGAGGAAGAGGAGGAGGGTCCATGTCGCTAAATACCAACTTTCCACCGACCACTTTTCCCACCCGGTGTCGCTCCGATCTGCCGGCGCATCGCTGACAAAACCAATTGGGTGTCTGGATGCTAAATGTTTATACTTCTCATCCAACCACAATCACATTCTCTGTCCGAATAGCGCCATTTATCTAGATGGGTTTTTTTGTGTTTGTGTTTTTGAACTGCGACAAGCCGGAAGTAACGAGACTGTTTTTAAAATGTAAGGAGTAGAAGTAAAAAGTCGTCTGAAAAATAAATACTCCAGTAAAGTATAGATACCCAAAATTTCTACTTAAGTACAGTAACGAAGTATTTGTACTGCGTTACTTGACACCTCTGCGTACTTGTACTAGCGTGTAAATAGTATGTAAATGAAATACCACGTGAAACAATTAGAATTACAGTTTCCTTGTAATCGTGTTGATGTAATACAACTGATCCTTTTGTAATCGATCAGTACACATCCTCGTCATTCATGTCTGAGCTGAGCAATGACGTCACAAGAGTGGAACGCCTGGGGAGAAATAGAGCAGGACTTCTCCATCTACACGCTTATACAGCTTTATGGTTGTATGCCATATCTTTCTTTGTGATATGACGTGACAGAAAGTTCTGCAGTTCCCGTCCTCAGCGAGTCAAGCTCATATGAGCGTCGTGGCTCGCGCACCAGGCAGAGCAGAGTCAGAGGAGACCCACGCTTCTTTGCATCGAGACTAAACTTTCTTTTTAAAGAGTTGCGGGGAATATTTTTCCTCTTTCGGAGACGCATCACCATCAGATTGCACATCATTTACATGCATTTACCAGACCTCCATTGGAAGTGAAAAATGTTTCCACTGTTCACATTAAGAGATCTCAAATACTACCAAGTGTAGTATGATTTGGATCAACGCTAACTGGGTGGACAGCTAGAAATAAATTAAATCATCCAAATGTTACATCACATTATTACGTTACAGGTCATTTAGCTGACACTTTTATCCAAAGCGACTTACATTGCATTTTTAACCCATAGCTTTTTTTTTACATTTTGGCCCGGGGAGCAATTAGGGGTTGGGTGTCTTGCTCAGGGACACTTGAACATGGGACATGGAGCAGCCGGGTCTCGAACCACCAACCTTGTGGTTCCCGGCGCACCCTCTCTACCCCCACGTCACAATACAGAAAGGCAGGTTGATTTTGTTGTTGTGAAGAAGCTCGGTTTGCATGATTATAAATTAATGATTTGAATAATAAATCATCTTTGGAGGAAATGTCCCTCCTGAGCTACTGTAGGTTCAGGCAGGTCTTGGTACCTCCTACTTCCTGGTTCATCCATTATACAGGGTATAAAAGCTGCACATGATGAAGCTGCTGTCACCACGCTTGTCCCTTTCTGTGTTGGAGTCTGGCTGAAGAATCCAATGAGCTGGTAGGTGGGTTTTTTAAATTTTATTTACAGTTCTTCAAAAACTGATTTGTCTCCCAGCTTGTCAGGGAGGCCCAAACCATGTGTGGGCCGGACCAGGTGGAGGAGCCTACAAGTAACTCCAGGCTGGCGTTAGAAGCCACTGCTGTTTTCTGTAGCTTATTCAGTTCCTGTCTGGAGTTTCTTCATGTTTGTAATTAGTTAGTTTGCTGATGATTACTTTTGGTAATTTGTTTTTTTTTTTTAGGGGTGTTTGAGGCTGTCTGCAGAGTAGCATCCCAGATGGTGGGTCTGGTGACTGGGCCTTTCATCTGCTCATCCCATTGTCTGTTGTGTTTGTCTGCATTTTCTTTTAACATCTCATGCCTTGATTTTATATTGTTTTTGTGGAGAAACCAAGTCTGTGAGCGCCCTGTGCCAGAGCCTGTCCCTGTTCTCACCCCGGTGCGGCCTAGTCATCAGTAGCACTCAATTTGTTTGTAGAGGTGCATTTGGTTATTTCTACAGCTGATGGAAATTAGTTTCATTGTTTTGTATGCTTACTATATTTTAACTAAATGTTAACCTTGGGGAATCCTTTTGCCTCAGTCTGACTTCAGTCACCTGTTTATCTGTGGTTGTTGGATAATTTATGAGAATGTTTAGCCCTGTGCTACCGGTGGTTACAAATGTTTTTCTTCCAGTTGCTCATCTTCTCATGATTTGATCTACACACTATGCATCAGCTAAAACTAATGCATTCTAATACAACAGCCCTCCAACTATTTCTCCCTCCTTCTCTTAGATCAGGGAAGTCGACAGCCCATATAGAAATTGGCCAATGCTACCCCTAGAGTGGATTTACTCGCATGATGAACTTTACTTATTGCTTGTGATCTCCTCTCAGACTGCTATGGCTGGTTCCACACCTGCAGAATCAAGGTGAACATTGGAAAACTAACACTTCCAAATGCTTGCCAGAGTCACTAGATATCTTCACTGCAAGATGAAGACAACCTTTAGGTTAAAGGGCAACATCTGACTTCATTTCATGGATCAAGATTTTGGCAATTGCTTAAATTCTACCACTGCATTTCAGGGACAAGTAGGAGGCCAAACAGGTTAGTTGATGTCTAAAATGTTTGACCTCCCTTTGTGGAATGCCTGTGAGAAATTGAGTAACTTATCAGTTGCAGATAATTTCATTTTTGTTCAATATTCTATTGTCATTTACTAATTTGAGTTGGTTCAATATGCGATGGGCAAGAAACCTGGTGGCGACCGTGGTGCCATGAATACAAAAAGGTATGACTGACTTGAGTTAACCACACTACCACAGACACAGCTCATAAATCTAACAAAGCATTTTTCATAATGTTTTAACTGTTTGAATTGCTTGGTGATTGTGATGTTCTATAGTGTAAGTGACAATGTGTAAAATGCACTGTAAATACACATTTCTGTGACCGTAATTAAAACTCATTTTAAAATCATTAACTGAAAGTGAGTTTGTTGCACAATATATCACAAATGGGAGTTTTCTGAAGATATTTAAAATGGTTGCTTTAAAATATTTCTCCTGCAAAAACTTTTTAAACTGTTAGCTGGACATAAAAAAATAGAAATTTAAGTAAACCTCAATGTTACAATATTCGTTCCAACACTGTAGGTTACGACCTTACAACATAGTCTAATTTGACAGTCAAATTTACGGTGTACCTGGAATGTAATTTTAATCTTGTAGGACACCACTGCAATTGCTGATTATGGGCGGTCGACCTCAACTGACCGAACTGTCAAGGTCAAAGGAGGCTCATGGATCTTGGAGAAGATGGGCGAGGCCTGGGTTCTTAATAAAGGTGTGTGTTTTTTTTTTGAATTTTTTTTTAAATGTAATGCTTGGCATGCAGGCTGTGTAATGGCTCTGATAAAATGTCTTTCTAACTGTAAAGAATGCCTGAGGGTTGTGGCCTGTCCTGAAGAACAATTTGGATCCTTTACCTGCTGTTTAACTATTTGGCCAATGTGTTGGTATTGCTAATAACTTTAGCCTGTGTGTGTCTGTGTGCAAGAAGATGCCATCTTTTCAGTGTTTCAAAGATTTTTCAAAATGATTTGTGATTCGGCTCCTGCCTTGATCCCAGGAGTGGTCAAGCGGTTTCAGCCTCCTGTGACAGTGGAAATTACCAGCCGTCTTGAGTAAACGGTGAGACCTTTTTTTTTTTTTTTCTTTTTCTTCCCCAGTGTTTTTGATATGTAATGCTTGTCATGCAAGCTGTGTGAAAGGTCTAATAAAATGTTCTTTTTCGAACTGTCAAGAGCCTGACTGTTGCATAATGTGTTAACTGAATCTTCTAATATGTAATTGTATGTCCTGAACTATGCCGCCCTCTTAACTGCTTCATTTAATATTTGCAGTTTCCCTGTATGTGCAAAAAGCTGCCATCAGTGTTTGGAAAACATTCCGGTTGGGTAAAGTAGTTCTGTGATTCCACGCAGTACGGTCCAGAGAAGGCAACCGGGTCCTGCCTCGGGCTCCCTAGGAGTGGCCAAGCAACTTCAGCCTCCTGTGAAAATTGCCAGCTGATGAGAGGTAAGACCCTTTCTCAGTACTGCTTTTGTTATGTCATGCAAGCTGTGAAAGTCTAATACAATGTTCTGTTAGAATACCCGACGGTTGTTTAACTGCATCTGCTGCTAATATGTACTGAACTAATCCAGTCTTTATCTGCGCTTTCCCTGTGTGTGTAAAGATGCATTCTTGTCAGTGTTTAAATATTTCTTGTTTGCTAAAGTACTATTATACTACCACATCAGGGGCAAGCAACTTTAGCCTACTGTGGAAATTGCCTTATGCTCCTGCCAACTAAGCGAGTAACAGGTAAGACTTTTTTTTCCCCCAGTAATGGGTATGTAATGCTTGTCATGCAGGCTGTGTGACTGGTCTAGAAAAATGTGTTAACTTCTGGTGCTTCTTGTCTTTGGTTGTATGACCTGAACTATTCTGTTTTAACAATTTTCCTTTGGCCAATGTTTTAGGAATGTGTTTGTATTGCTAAATGTAAACCTGCAGGTGCAGGAAGATAATGTCAGTGTTTCAACCCTTTTCTCGATGATTGGGTAATGTAGTCAAGGATGTCGAGCAGCACGATAGAATACAACTCTCGACAAGGTTTTACCTGCATTAGGGCATACGACGCAATGTGCCAGCACGGTCTAACTTTGCCCTGTGTGGGCTAGGGTTAGCGGGGCTAAGTGTCAGCTAGGATTAGCGGGGCTAAGTGTGGGCTAGGGTTAGCGGGGCTCAGTGTGGGCTAGGGTTAGCGGGGCTAAGTGTGGGCTAGGGTTAGCGCGGCTAAGTGTGGGCTAGGGTTAGCGGGGCTAAGTGTGGGCTAGGGTTAGCGGGGCTAAGTGTGGGCTAGGGTTAGCGGGGCTAAGTGTGGGCTAGGGTTAGCGGGGCTAAGTGTGGGCTAGGGTTAGCGGGGCTAAGTGTGGGCTAGGGTTAGCGGGGCTAAGTGTGGGCTAGGGTTAGCGGGGCTAAGTGTGGGCTAGGGTTAGCGGGGCTAAGTGTGGGCTAGGGTTAGCGGGGCTAAGTGTGGGCTAGGGTTAGCGGGGCTAAGTGTGGGCTAGGGTTAGCGGGGCTAAGTGTGGGCTAGGGTTAGCGGGGCTAAGTGTGGGCTAGGGTTAGCGGGGCTAAGTGTGGGCTAGGGTTAGCGGGGCTAAGTGTGGGCTAGGGTTAGCGGGGCTAAGTGTGGGCTAGGGTTAGCGGGGCTAAGTGTGGGCTAGGGTTAGCGGGGCTAAGTGTGGGCTAGGGTTAGCGGGGCTAAGTGTGGGCTAGGGTTAGCGGGGCTAAGTGTGGGCTAGGGTTAGCGGGGCTAAGTGTGGGCTAGGGTTAGCGGGGCTAAGTGTGGGCTAGGGTTAGCGGGGCTAAGTGTGGGCTAGGGTTAGCGGGGCTAAGTGTGGGCTAGGGTTAGCGGGGCTAAGTGTGGGCTAGGGTTAGCGGGGCTAAGTGTGGGCTAGGGTTAGCGGGGCTAAGTGTGGGCTAGGGTTAGCGGGGCTAAGTGTGGGCTAGGGTTAGCGGGGCTAAGTGTGGGCTAGGGTTAGCGGGGCTAAGTGTGGGCTAGGGTTAGCGGGGCTAAGTGTGGGCTAGGGTTAGCGGGGCTAAGTGTGGGCTAGGGTTAGCGGGGCTAAGTGTGGGCTAGGGTTAGCGGGGCTAAGTGTGGGCTAGGGTTAGCGGGGCTAAGTGTGGGCTAGGGTTAGCGGGGCTAAGTGGGGCTAGGGTTAGCGGGGCTAAGTGTGGGCTTAGGGTTAGCGGGGCTAAGTGTGGGCTAGGGTTAGCGGGGCTAAGTGGGGCTAGGGTTAGCGGGCTAAGTGTGGGCTAGGGTTAGCGGGGCTAAGTGTGGGCTAGGGTTAGCGGGGCTAAGTGTGGGCTAGGGTTAGCGGGGCTAAGTGTGGGCTAGGGTTAGCGGGGGCTAAGTGTGGGCTAGGGTTAGCGGGGCTAAGTGTGGGCTAGGGTTAGCGGGGCTAAGTGTGGGCTAGGGTTAGCGGGCTAAGTGTGGGCTAGGGTTAGCGGGGCTAAGTGTGGGCTAGGGTTAGCGGGGCTAAGTGTGGGCTAGGGTTAGCGGGGCTAAGTGTGGGCTAGGGTTAGCGGGGCTAAGTGTGGGCTAGGGTTAGCGGGGCTAAGTGTGGCTAGGGTTAGCGGGGCTAAGTGTGGGCTAGGGTTAGCGGGGCTAAGTGTGGGCTAGGGTTTGCGGGGCAAGTGTGGGCCTAGGGTTAGCGGAGGCTAAGTGTGGCTAGGGTTAGCGGGGCTACGTGTGGGCTAGGGTTAGCGGGGCTAAGTGTGGGCTAGGGTTAGCGGGGCTAAGTGTGGGCTAGGGTTAGCGGGGCTAAGTGTGGGCTAGGGTTAGCGGGGCTAAGTGTGGGCTAGGGTTAGCGGGGCTAAGTGTGGGCTAGGGTTAGCGGGGCTAAGTGTGGGCTAGGGTTAGCGGGGCTAAGTGTGGGCTAGGGTTAGCGGGGCTAAGTGTGGGCTAGGGTTAGCGGGGCTAAGTGTGGGCTAGGGTTAGCGGGGCTAAGTGTGGGCTAGGGTTAGCGGGGCTAAGTGTGGGCTAGGGTTAGCGGGGCTAAGTGTGGGCTAGGGTTAGCGGGGCTAAGTGTGGGCTAGGGTTAGCGGGGCTAAGTGTGGGCTAGGGTTAGCGGGGCTAAGTGTGGGCTAGGGTTAGCGGGGCTAAGTGTGGGCTAGGGTTAGCGGGGCTAAGTGTGGGCTAGGGTTAGCGGGGCTAAGTGTGGGCTAGGGTTAGCGGGGCTAAGTGTGGGCTAGGGTTAGCGGGGCTAAGTGTGGGCTAGGGTTAGCGGGGCTAAGTGTGGGCTAGGGTTAGCGGGGCTAAGTGTGGGCTAGGGTTAGCGGGGCTAAGTGTGGGCTAGGGTTAGCGGGGCTAAGTGTGGGCTAGGGTTAGCGGGGCTAAGTGTGGGCTAGGGTTAGCGGGGCTAAGTGTGGGCTAGGGTTAGCGGGGCTAAGTGTGGGCTAGGGTTAGCGGGGCTAAGTGTGGGCTAGGGTTAGCGGGGCTAAGTGTGGGCTAGGGTTAGCGGGGCTAAGTGTGGGCTAGGGTTAGCGGGGCTAAGTGTGGGCTAGGGTTAGCGGGGCTAAGTGTTGGCTAGGGTTAGCGGGGCTAAGTGTGGGCTAATCTGTATAGCGGGGCTAAGTGTGGGCTAGGGTTAGCGGGGCTAAGTGTGGGCTAGGTTAGCGGGGCTAAGTGGGGCTAGGGTTAGCGGGGCTAAGTGTGGGCTAGGGTTAGCGGGGCTAAGTGTGGGCTAGGGTTAGCGGGGCTAAGTGTGGGCTAGGGTTAGCGGGCTAAGTGTGGGCTAGGGTTAGCGGGGCTAAGTGTGGGCTAGGGTTAGCGGGGCTAAGTGTGGGCT